GGGGATGTATCGTAGTCCTGCCTTGGGGTGGTGTTGTCCCCCTCTGCTCATCTCTATAACAAAGGGGGAGGGGGTCTGTAGTCCTGTCCTAAGATGACAACGCAGGTCCATAAAGGCAGCACAGCGAGTGAGTGTTGTCACCCTAAGGCAGGACTACGAAACACCTTCCCCTCCGCTCATCTATATAAGGGGAAGCATTTTGTTGGCCTGCCCTAGGGTGACAACACTCACTCACTGTGCTGTATTTATGGAGCTGTGTTGTAACCTTTGGGCAGGACTACAGAACACCTCCCCCTCTCCTCTACCCTATAACGGAAGGGTGTTCATGGAGATGGCGGAGCTCTCTGGATTTCACAGATGGTGGGAAGTTTCGGATATGAAATCATCAGGAAACCGGCTTTCATCCTCGCTGCGTCCTGATAGGACGATCACCGGCCGGCGCTCTTCATTGTCCCTCAGAATAGAGGAGGGTGGGTGGAGTTTTGACGGCGGTTGCATTGTGCCCGGCTCTTGTGCGTTGCCTGCGGATGGTAATCACGGTTTCCATGGTAACCCGGCACTCCACAAACACGTCTCCGTCCAAAAACTGCAGCAATGTTCCCAGAGAGCGGCGAGACGGGAGGGGGGCCAATCCACGTCAATCAATTGTTATTACTGGGGCCCGGTCCAGTCACAGCACAGCGGTGCGCCAAAGCATGCGTGATAAGGTGTGCTATGACGTGTGATCATGTGCGTTATGGAGGAACCCCGGCGAAGAGACCGACATAGAGAGTAAGATATTGAGGCCTCACTGCCAGATGCAGCTAAAGTGCGAATAAAGATTCCAGAACTCCAATACTCTGAGCTATAGAAGTTCTGTATTCTGTCTGGTGGGTGGGGGATGTTGGGGGTATGATGGGCATGGTAGTGTAGATCAGGACACGCATGGACTATGTGCTCTGTGCTGTGTCAGGTTTTTCGAGTCTTTCCTAGAAGACAGTTGGTGGAATTCCCCTTTCTGGGTGGATTGTGGTCAGCGACGTGTGACGGCTCTACGCCCTTCTGCTTTACTTCTACCAACCTCCCAGGGGGTCCCCCCGCCGTCCCTCCAGAGGTCCCCCCGCCGTCCCTCCAGAGGTCCCCCCGCCGTCCCTCCAGAGGTCCCCCCGCCGTCCCTCCAGAGGTCCCCCCGCCGTCCCTCCAGAGGTCCCCCCGCCGTCCCTCCAGAGGTCCCCCCGCCGTCCCTCCAGAGGTCCCCCCGCCGTCCCTCCAGAGGTCCCCCCGCCGTCCCTCCAGAGGTCCCCCCGCCGTCCCTCCAGAGGTCCCCCCGCCGTCCCTCCAGAGGTCCCCCCGCCGTCCCTCCAGAGGTCCCCCCGCCGTCCCTCCAGAGGTCCCCCCGCCGTCCCTCCAGAGGTCCCCCCGCCGTCCCTCCAGAGGTCCCCCCGCCGTCCCTCCAGAGGTCCCCCCGCCGTCCCTCCAGAGGTCCCCCCGCCGTCCCTCCAGAGGTCCCCCCGCCGTCCCTCCAGAGGTCCCCCCGCCGTCCCTCCAGAGGTCCCCCCGCCGTCCCTCCAGAGGTCCCCCCGCCGTCCCTCCAGAGGTCCCCCCGCCGTCCCTCCAGAGGTCCCCCCGCCGTCCCTCCAGAGGTCCCCCCGCCGTCCCTCCAGAGGTCCCCCCGCCGTCCCTCCAGAGGTCCCCCCGCCGTCCCTCCAGAGGTCCCCCCGCCGTCCCTCCAGAGGTCCCCCCGCCGTCCCTCCAGAGGTCCCCCCGCCGTCCCTCCAGAGGTCCCCCCGCCGTCCCTCCAGAGGTCCCCCCGCCGTCCCTCCAGAGGTCCCCCCGCCGTCCCTCCAGAGGTCCCCCCGCCGTCCCTCCAGAGGTCCCCCCGCCGTCCCTCCAGAGGTCCCCCCGCCGTCCCTCCAGAGGTCTCCCTGCCGTCCCTCCAGAGGTCTCCCCACACCCACAGGACTGATCACCCCACAGGACTGATCACCCCACACACGCCATGGAGGCAAAATTCATTCAACGCATGTACAATCACCAGTCAAAGACATTGAAATTTGCTGAGACAGAAGAAGACATTCACCTCATCCAATCCCTCATTTCATCTTCATTGTAAATGTTAAAATTAACAAACAACATCTCCAAACAATGGATGAAATATCGGAAATCTTCTGATCATACCCATCAGTTTTTGTTTTTTAAACTGCTGAATAGTTCAGCGGAGACTCAGAAACACCATCAGATGTATCCCTGTGTCAGGGAGATCCGTCCTCACTTCCTGTCCCAGGTGGCACCGGACTTCAAAATAGGAAATGAAAATAAAACAATCGGCAATAACAATATACAAAGTCACTTTCACCCTCGGGCCTCATGGCATTAGATTCGGTTCTATGATGTGCCGTGTCGGTATTAATTGCAGTTCTGTACAAAATACAAAATTACAAGTTGAATGAAATTGCCATTTTGTAGCTTTAAATAAACATGTTTGTTATCTTGTGTGACCGGCGTGCTCCTCCGTCCCGTCCTCATCTCCCGCAGGGACTGGAATGCGTGGCACCTTGTGGTCCCATCTGGACCTCTGCAAATGTTTGATGTGTGTCCAGTTCCCTCTGCTGGTTCCTGTCCATCTCGGGGGGGTGGGGGAAGGTCGGAGCCCTCCTGTCCGCTGATTCATACAATAACGCCTTTCACAAGGGATCTTCAACATTTTGGTAGTGAATTCCTTCTCTGAACGCAGCTTCTAATTCTGCCTTCAGGTGGCCCCGGAGCTCCGACAGTCTATTATTTCTTCCTCTCCAAATGAATCGATGTATATTTGGATAAAGAAGTTGTCGTTGCCGTGTCAGGGAGTTTTGTCCTTACTTCCTGTCCCAGGTGGCACCGGACTTCAAAATAGGAAATGAAAAGAAAACAATCGGCAATAAAAAATATAAAAGGGACCCTAAAGGTGCCCATACACCTTGCGATTATCGGCTGGTTTCTAGCCTGCTCGTTCGACAACTGCGCATGCGCACACTGCCCATTCAGCATTGCGGTCATCGGAAGCCCCGCCCCTCAGGGGGGCGTGTTTTCGATGATCGCAAGTAGGATCTGCCTGTCTGAGATGGGCAGATCGAACGAGCTTTTAATTAGCTTACGACCATCGCAAGACAAAGTCACTTTCACCCTCGGGCCTCTAAGGTATTAGGTTCAGGTCCATCGGCAGGATGTGCTGCGTCGGTATTAATTGTACAAAATTACAAGTTGGAAGAACATTTTGTAACTTTAAAGAAACATATTCGTTACATTCCCCGACTCCGGTCAGAATATTATATTCAGGTTATCCATCACGTGAACGCTGTCCTCAATGGGGGAGACGCTTCTGACTTGTATGTTCATTTCCAGTTGCTCATCCATGTTCTAATGCTGACGTGTGATGTCACAGAACCGGGTTCTGCTCTATACGTTCATTCTCTTAGTTCATCAATTTAAATTGAAAGAACTCCGCCCCCTTCTTCAGTCTTGCACAGTTGTACCGGCTCCTCCTCTTCCTCTGATGTCACTGCACACTGGGAGCGCCTCACAATGTACATTAGAAGCTGCAGCAAGTCAGATAGAGCCCGCCCCATTTCCTGGCTGGAGGACATCCAGCATCATCTAGCAATATCCTCCCCAGCCTCACTGTCCCTGTCCCCGCCCCCTTTCAGTCATTGTATTTCAGTTCTTTCAATCATGGAGGCTCAGCATCACATGTGGGCGTTACCTAGGGCGCTCTGCATGCAAATACATCCTGTCTAGGAACGCCCACTCCTCCAGACTGACACCCGCCCATCAAGGCATTTTGATATTTGCATAACTCCTCCCAAGAGCCAGTCCACTGCTTGCATCAGGGCTGAGGGCTTGTGAGAGGAGTACTGAGGCAGGGTGCTGTGATGTTTTCAGGAAGCTATGTACTGCACCCTGCTGGCCCCTCCCACCAGCCATGACCTGCCTGCATTTCAACTTCAGCTGTTACCTATTCTATATAAATAAAGTTTTGTCTTTAGTTATATATGAACCTCCCCTGTGTCCTCCGAGCTGTACAATACAGGGATCGGACGTCACCCCAACACCTTCGTGTGGCTCAGTGAGTGAAGCGGTACAGACCTTCACCATCTGTCCGTGGCATGTATGTGGGATGTATGCGGGACGTACGGGAGATGTGTGCGGAATTTAAGCGGGTTGTATGGGAGATGCACGGGGGGATGTACAGGGCATGTATGCAGGACGTAAGCAGGATAGATGGAGGATGGACACGGGATGCACGGGGATGTATGTGGGAGGCACGCAGGATGTATGGTGATGTATGCGGGAAGCACGGGGGATGGACGTGGGTTGTACGCGGGATGTATGGAGGATGTGTGCGGGATGGACACGGGATGCACAGGGGATGTATGGAGGATGTATGCGGGATGCACGGGGGATGTATGCGAGATGCACGGAGGATGTATGCGGGATGCACGGGGGATGTATGCAGGATGCACGGGGATGTATGCGGGATGCACAGGGGATGGACACGGGATGGACGGGGGATGCATGGGGGATGTATGGAGGATGTATGCGGGATGCACGGGGATGTATGGAGGATGTATGCGGGATGGACGGGGGATGTATGCGGGATGCATGGAGGATGTATGCGGGATGTATGCAAGATGCATGAGGGATGTATGGATAAGTATGCGGGATGCATGGAGGATGTATGCGGGATGCACGAGGGATGTATGGGGGATGTATGGAGGATGGACGTGGGATGTATGGAGGATGTATGCGGGATACACGGGGGATGGACACGGGATGGACGCGGTCCTTTCCTCAGTAACATTTTGTGTATTTTGGCTTCTAGAACGTTCTCTGTTATTCGTTGTTCGGGAAGTGATCGGCGTTGATGTTCTGGGCTCAGTGTGCTCCTCGGTCCCGTCCTCATCTCCCACAGGGACCGGAATGCGTGGCACCTTGTGGGCCCATCTGGACCTCTGCGCTTGTTTGATGCGAGTCCAGTTCCCTCTGCTGGTTCCTGTCCATCTCGGGGGAGGGGGTCGGAGGGGTCGGAGCCCTCCTGTCCGCTGACTCTACAATCACGTCTTTCACATGGATCTTCAATCCCTTCCCTGAATGGAGCTTCTAATTCTGCCTTCAGGTGGCCCCGGAACCCCGACCGGCTTTTATTATTTCCTCCTCTCCAAATTAATGAGTTATGTTTGGATGAAGAAGTCGGCGCTGCTTGTAGGAATGTTCTTTGTTGTCCCCCTAAGCCGCCCCCC